TTTTCGGTCAAAGGGCATTTATTTTGGTCTTCGGTCAAAATCAAATTGCACAATCACATTTTTACCTTTGGTAAATAATGAGCTCTTACAACAGTTCAATCACCACTTTTAGTACCAAGGAGGTAAGTGAAACCTAATGCTCTCAGTCCTATGAAGATAAAATAAATAAATACGGTGAACAAAATGAATTATTAGTTACAGAGGTTTTTGACCTTAAAAATGAAATATATGACATTAAGAAAGTCAATAAACCGCTTAAAAAAACTAGAAGCACAAACTAAATATTTAAGCAGGATTAAAGAAGAATATAACACCAAATGTGTTCACTATCGTTTTGTCAAAAAGAAAATTGCAAACTTAACTGCCGAATTTGATGCATTAAAGGCTAAATTTAAGGATGCTGACTTTAATTTTAAGAAATTCGATGTATCAAGTGAGATAGTTGAGTCTATGATTCAAAAACAGTTAAAATGGAAGGGTAACCAGAAAAAGGGTATGGGGTATCACAGTGTACCACCTCCTTTCAATGATAACTATACTCCGGCTTCTGAAACCATAGAGACAGAAAAATCTGTTCAACATGGTCATCCTACTATAGTTGTTTCAGTTAAGACTGAACAATCCAGCAGAACTGAGAATATTGAGGTGAACGATACTAATGTTTCTACTTCATGTGCAGAGAAAGTAACAGTGCAAGACGGGTATGAGAAAAACAAAGATAATTATAGTTTTAATGAAAACTCTTCAAAAACTAACATATTATCTTATGTTGCTTCAAAAGCTTGTGATAACATTGATAACAATTTTAAGCCACATAAAGTTGTGAAAAAGTTTGTTAAATTTGCTTGTACTTGTGGAAATTCAGTTGGACAGGGACCAAGTCCTGAACGTATTCCTTTTAAAAGACAAACTTGCTTTAACTGTGGAATTCCTGGTCACATTGCCAAAAATTGTCCAAATCGTACATATATTCCCTATTATGCCTAAGGTAGGCAGAACGTATCTCGAGGAAGATCTTTCAATAGAAACTCCTCGAGATCACATGATGGTGACTGGAATACTGCCAAGACCAAAAATCAGACTCTCAAGAACAAAAAGGTCATGTCTGACAAGAGATCTAATTTGAGAAATAGTTCAGTCAAACCAAGATCGGTAAGGTCGAAGTCATCTCGACGATCGGTCTCAAGCTCCAAAACAAGTGTTAAAGAATCCATCCGATTAAACAAGAAAATGGTTAAACCTGACTACAAATGGGTACCAAAAGTTCCTACTCCCAAATCACCTAAAAGTTCTAACATCTCTTCATTTTCTGTGTTTGATAAATAGGATATGACTTGGGAACGCGTATCACGCATAGATGGCAAAGGTCAACCCAGTTTCAAAATGGACTGGATTCCCAAAACCAATTAATCCCGCACTCTGTGCCGGAGCAGCTATGGAGGAATATCATCAGACTTCGGTATGTTGATAGTGGCTGTTCCAGGCACATGATAGGAGACATCTCTCATCTGCATGACATTCAGAATTTTAATGGAGAGCATGTGTCCTTTGTGGGAAAGGAAAAGGAAAGATCACAAATGGGGATTACATCAATTGCTGAAATATGGTTTGAATTTTCTGACTCTTCTATTCTATGTGATAATAATGCTGATCTTCAATCGTCCAAAAACCTATTTTTTCTAAAATCAAGCTCGTGCTTGTAGGATTTATTAAGATGATACGTTTCGAAGATTGAAATTTCTTTTCATTTTATTTATTATTTCTTATATTCTTTCAGTTTGTTTGTTTTTAGAAAAAGAAATTTGTGACAATCTTTTGGGAAGTGATATGAGTTAGTGATAAAGGGCAAACGAAATACGTGTGATGCACTAAAGCTGAATTGTCTAAACTCTGTGTTTAATGTGTTGGTAGGCATAAACGACTAAGACTAATGGACTAGACAATGTGGACTCATTTGGACTTAGAAAACCTCATTTGGACTGACAATACGACGCTTGAATAGATTTAACAGTAAAACAGACAAGGAGGCCTATGACATAAATTGAAGCTAACTATCATCTAGATATGTGGCTCAACACTTCATTGGCATATGGACTTGTGTCCTTAATTCTTGTATTGACAGGGGGTGACTAAGGGGTTCTGATAAATTGGGTATGTTTAAAATCGTTATTCTTTCTTTCTTAGTCAGTCGTATGTTGTCCCCTCTGCGTGATCGGAAGATCCGACCTGGGAGACAACATATGCACTCAGATGATGTTCACTGCTTTTAAGTTAGTATATTGTCTCCTACATATATCCTACTCTCTATGTTACTCATATGTTGTCCCCTCTGCGTAATCGGTAGATCCGACCTGAGACACAACATATGCATTCCAAAATGATTATTTACTCACCTAAAATAAAGGATTACGAAGAAATGTCCTTGATTACTGGGGTATGCCATGAAGTGGGGAACATGTTCTAGTGTACTAACATTAACTGCACCCATAACTAAAGGCTGACTGGTAGATTTTACTGGCTAAATTTAAGTGGACAACAATATCCCTGGTCGTCGTCAGATAAAATGGTCTATCTAGGAATATAGTAGCTATATATCGTCACTCATGATCTGTCCTGAAAAATGTCCTTTGTGTTTAAGTGGATCACAATATCAATGATTGACCAGAGCTTTTCATGAACGTGTGTGCTGATAAACCTCATTAATTTGCTTCATAACGTTTGATCCCAAAAGTTTTTGTTTTATTAGATTCTGTTTATTACATTTTTGTTTTATTTAAATTTGTACATATTTTCACTGTTATGCACAAATTTAGGGGGACAAATTATTCCAAAAAAAAATGTTTAATTTTATTTTTATTTTCGTATTTGATTTTTGAAACGTAAAATCGAAAGAAATCTTTTTATTAAAAACGGGTATTTTTCCTTGGCCCGAAATCATTTAGGTGGGTAATCTGGGCCGATTTTTCGGTCATATATATATATATATATATATATATATATATATATATATATATATATATATATAGGTGAGATCGGTTGAGAACTCATATTTTCCTGAGAACCCGATAACTAAAAGTGGAGTGTTGGATCAAAAGTAATTCATTAAGGACATGATCGTCATCTTACCAATCTCATTTAATGTTAAATTTTTTTGTGTTATTTAATATATTAATATAAATGTCTAAAAATTTACATCATAAATCAAATTTTCAGATTATTTTAAATATAGTATTTTTCGTTTTTTTTAAATGGAGATTTTTTAATTTTTTATAGAAAACATGAATTTTTGAAAAAAAAATTGAAAATTAAAAAAAAACCTGCAATTTTAAAAAAAAAAATGCATTTTTTTTTCAAAAAAACTGCAGCTTTTCTAAAGAAAACTGCATTTTTTTCAAAAAAAAAACAGCAATTTTTTCAAAAAAACTGCAATTTTTTCAAAAAAACTACAAGTTTTTTAAAGAAAGTTACATTTTTGTCAAAAAAAAATGCATTTAAAAAAAACTGCAATTTTCAAAAAAAACTGCATTTTTTTTAAAAAGTAAATTTTTAGGTGCGTATATGCATATTTTTTCAAATGCATATATGTATATTTCTTATACTATAATATTCTTAAGGTAAATCACAAAAAATCTCATATTAATTAATCTATAAACATAATAGTACAAGTATTTTATTCGATACAAAATAAAAAATAAAAAATAAAAAAAGCTACAAATTTCAAAGCGTTTTCATGTTTTCGTGTCAATATTTCCTTATTTTCTTCAATTTATCATTTTTCACCTCTTCAATATTCACCACAATTTCTTCCAAATCTACAAGAAAATTAAAAAAAAAATGATTGATGCAAAAACACTCACAAAAATACATATGTGATTTTCATGTGATTAACATATGAATCACATGCGATTCACATATGAATCACATGCGATTCACATGTGATTTACATGTGAATCACATATGATTTACATGTGAATTGCATGTGATTTACATGTGAATCATATGCGATTTACGTGTGAATCACATGTGATTTACATGTGAATCACGTGTAAATGTGATTTACATGTGAGTCATATGTGACCAACTTGTGATTTACATGTGAATTACAGGTTATTCATATGTGAATTACATGTGATTTACATGTGAATCACGTGTAATTGCGATTTACATGTGAATTACATGTGATTCATATATGATTTACATGTGAATCACGTGTAATTGTGATTTATGTGTGAATCACATGTGATTCATATGTGAATTACATGTGATTTACATGTAATTCATATGTGATTTATGTTATTTAGGTTTATCGGGTGTTTCATTTCATTTACTAACAAAAGGAATGAATTAATCCAGACAAATGAAGAGAGAGATATAACCATGCAACAACTAAAACATGATGAGCAGATGGCAGACTCCAAATAACCAGCAAAATAACACTACAAACATAATAAATGATCTGATTAACCGCTCTTGATTGTGATACAAAAACCAAATTGAGTAGGCAGAAAAACAGCAACCAACTATGAATTAAATCTTACTCCACCCCACATTTACAACTGAACTAATCATCATAAAGATGTTATTCTCAGATCCTAATTTCCGTCCCCTAAAAACATAGCCATGAAATTAATTATGCCACACCAGGCTTTGCAATCAAAACTGTATTATTATCAAAAGATGTTACCAGAAGAAGAACCTTAGTTAAAGGCCAATAAATCTTGCTGATAGTTTATACCAACAACTCCTTAGCTGACAATCATGTCATAACATCGCCCAACTGTAATCAACCAATAACCTGATGTATCTGCTTAGCTTTGCTATTGAAATATTACCATGATTGAAGATAAGAGTGTACATACAAAAAGAACCTGGAATTGTGATCTTCAACTCTTGGATAATAATATCTAATCTTAATTTCTTGCAGACATGGACCAATAACCCTATCAATCAACTAGATTCGCAGTCAAAATTTTAATTATAACCCACATCTCCTCAGATAATTACACCAAATCATAATTTATCCGGCCTATGGACGTTCCCAAACATAGAAGATAGTAGAAAAAGAACCTAAAACCGCTTTCACCAGCGTGACGATTGTTATTCAGGTTTAATGGTTTGCCCTTCCCTTGTAAGTTATCGAACTGGCATTCCTCCATTAAATGCCAAATCCTTTGCTCCACAACATTGATAATATCTGTTTCTGACCTGATAATCAGAGAGGAAATTTAACGATTTGAAATTGAAACCCTAATTTGAAACAAGGATTCTCTAATTGAATGATTTACTGATTGAACGTAAATCGAATTTCGAGTAATTGGGTCTGAAATGTTGAGAATAGGGTAATTTACGAATTCAAAATTATTTACATGAGAATTGATAGAGAAGAGATGATACCTAATATTGTTGCGTTGGCCACGTAGTTCAGGAAGGAGTTTCCGATCATTAACAGCGTCTATTACACCGGATAGACGGTCATGCGTCTTCTTCTTGGGCTTTCCAACGGTCGCCGACGTGTCATCCGACGAAGACGAAGCGCAACTGACCTTGGAGATGCTAGAACAAAAGATGGCGATCACATACTTTTTTACTATCACCGACCAACGAACCAGTGATACAGAATTCTACCGCGACACTGTTTAGTCAGTTGGTAATCGAAGATAACAAGATACAAATCGCGAGGTCTAGAATTAGGGCACGGAACTACGAGGGGGAAGAAGGATGTCGCTACCACGTTGTTTAATCTATCAATCTGCGGGGGATCTTCAGTGGAGATAGGTTTATGATACAATGGATCAACGAAAGGGATTTTGATTCTGGATCTATGGTGGCAGTGTAAGGCGTCGATTGATGACATAGGTACGGTGGTTGTTGAAGGGCGGAGGGAGGTGGTCAACGGAGAGGGGAAGAACACGATACATTGAGAGAGAGAGAGAGAGAAGATATTGATTGATATTTCAATTGATAAGTAATTTGACTTTTTTTTTAAATTTTTTATACCGTATTTACCCCTGTGATCTATTGTTAAAAACCTAATATACCATTAAATTTACTTATAGTTACAAAGTATGCCACTAATCATCTAATCCGTCCAAAAATTTGATCCAACGTTCTACTTTTAGTTCTCGGGTTCTCGGGAAACTTTGAGTTCTCAAATGATCCTTTCTCTCTCTCTCTCTCTCTCTCTCTCTCTCTCAATGTATCGTGTTCTTCCCCTCTCCGTTGACCACCTCCCTCCGCCCTTCAACAACCACCGTACCTATGTCATCAATCGACGCCTTACACTGCCACCGTAGATCCAGAATCAAATGATCCTTTCTCTCCCAATATCTTCGAGATTTTCTGCTAAAATCTACTTATTCTTTGTTTCTGCTGCAAATTGTTCGGTGAATCAGGTAGCTTTTTGGTTTTCGATCATGGCAATGGTATTTAAGTTGTTTTTGGTGTACTCGGTTTCACAAATTTGCAGGTTTCGAATGGATTTTACGAGGCTTTCGACGAACTGCGTTGGAACAATTTCCGATGAGATTTCGGGTTTTCGGTTCAACCCGGATTCGACCGAGATCCGATGAAGATCCGACCCAATCTAACCAAAATCTGGGTTCTCGGCCGAAATCAACCAACGTTGATCGAAATCGTATGGTCAACAAGTGATTTCGACCGAAATCGATCATCTTTGACCGAAATCGGCTGAATTTTGGACTTTGAGCAAAATCGGATTTCAGACTCAATTTAATTAATTTTAAATTAGTTCTCACTTGGCTAGTTTAGTGCAGATAAATGGCAGAGAAACTTAAATTCGTAGACTCTCACAACATTGTTGGATATCTCATGGATCCTCCTGCTGCTCATCAAGAATTCAAATCCATGATGGTGGGTTTGAACAACTGCAGGATCTCTCAAGCCCTTCGTGCTAATCCAGTCATTCACAGAGACATGATGACTGTTAGTTTAGATTTATTGGATTGTTGCTACTCGTCAAAAATGACACAAAGCATTATTTCCTTTCATGCATTGTTTAAACAAGCTTTTAGATATTCTTTTAATGATGAGAATGGTTCTATTTCTGCTTATAAAAATTGTACTTTTTTTATTTTGAAGCTTTTCCTTGTGATGTGTGTAGACAATTTAGGCAATAGTGTATTTCAAATTGCTTCGTCTAATGGTATAGACAAAGCATACTTGTGGCATTGTCGTCTTGGACACATTCACAAGAAACGCATCGCCCAACTCCAAAAGGATGGAGTGTTGGAATCATTTGACCTAAGGTCAGATGATGAATGCGAATCTTGTCTTTTGGGTAAGATTAGAAAATCACCTTTCACTGGTAATTGTGAAGGAAGTGAATGTTTTTTGGACCTTATTCACACAGATGTGTGTGGGTCCTTCAGATCCACCACAAGAGATGATAATCGATTCTATGTGACTTTTACTGATGATTATAGCAGATATGGTTATATCTACTTAATCAAGCATAAGTCAGAAACCTTTGAAAAGTTCAAAGAGTTTAAACATGAAGTTGAGAATCAGTTGGGCAGGAAAATAGTGATGCTTAGATCCGATAGAGACGGTGAGTATAGTATCGAGTTCCACAACTACCTCAAGGAATGTGGAATAGTTTCACAATTGACACCTCCTAAAACACCACAACTTAATGGTGTGGATGAGAGACGCAATCGAACCTTGTTAGACATGGTTCGTTCCATGATGAGTCGAGCTTCTCTTCCAATTCCATTCTGGGGGTATTGCCTTAGAGACTGCCGCCCACATTCTTAATATTGTCCCAACTAAAAAGGTTTCCAAAACACCTCACGAGATGTGGACAGGGAAGGTTCCCTCGTTAGCACATATCAAGGTTTGGGGTTGTGAAGCTTTCGTTAGACGAGAGACTCATGACAAGCTTGAACCTCAAAGTGAGAGATGTATTTTCATCGGATATCCACAAAAGTGCTTTGGATATTTGTTCTACAGACCTAGTGTGAACGTGGTCTTTTGCAACGCCCGTGTTTCTAGGCTAGGCATTAATGATGATGTAATAGTCTAGGCCAACCTTTGTAACTTGTTTTGAAGTAATAAAAATGAATTATTTGAGTATTATGTGTTTTATACTTAATTATTATGATTTAATAAATTAAGGATAAAAATAAGCGTCAAAAATAAATGTTAGATAAACCTGATATCTATAAATAAAGTTGTAGTGGTTGAAACAAGGATTCTGGAGATATAAAGAATACCGAAATCCGAGTTATAACGAAGAAGTTATGACCTGTCGAAGTTTCGCGACAGAACCGGCACGACGCTGTGTGACGTAAAAAGTGAATTTACGATAAAGTGCTTTTTAGCCTTAGCGATCTAAATGAAAGTCGTAGTATACGGTAAACCGAGAGTGTGCATAAAAAAAATGTCCAAATCTGATTTTGTATGAGGAAGTTATGAATTTTCTAAGATTTGGCATAGAAGTGTGCAACCCGGAATTCGAATTATAGATCGAGCGATTTTTAGCCGACTCAACCTAAACGAGAATCGAAGATCTCATCGATAGTAGTTTAACGGTAAAAAGACAGACAAAAACGGACGTCGGATGAAGAAGTTATGAATTTTTAACGAACTTTTCATGTCCCGGCCTGTTAAAAATATAACTTTAAAAATAAAATCAAAATTAGCCGACGGAGTCTAAACGAAAGTTGTAGACCATGGTCTCACCTACACATGGATATAAAGAACGTAAAAAACGGAGCTCGTATGCGAAAGTAACGAATTTTTGAAGTTTGAAAAATCGGAGTACGCCCAGCGTACTCGTGTACGTGATCCGGAGTTCGTCACCCCCTACTTCTTCGCATGATGGACACGTGTTCGTAGCATTGACGCGTCCGAGATGATCCCTTCGTACGCCCAACGTACGAAAGTGTACGCCCAACGAAGAGCTTTGCGAGGAAGTACGCCCCGCATACTCTAGAACTACGCCCAACGTAATGAGGAGCTTCGGTCTCCTATAAATAGGATGCGAGGCTGCCCCGAAATTGTTTACAAAAATTACTTCTTTTTCACCCTTTTCTTTCTTTTTACCTACACTAAATACCCCCAATCCTAGAGTATCATCCTAGCATCATAAGCAAGCCCCGGAGAGCCCGAAGATCCCGAGAAAAGAGTTTTTCGAGTCGAAACTATGTCCGCGTGAAGCCCGGTTTTTGAGAAAACATCCCGGTTTCATCGAAAAAGATTGTTTTAAGGGACGAAGTGTTGTCCAATTACCACCTTATTAGGTGAGTGTGTAGTCACTTTCATCTTACACATAGATATGAAGTATTTTCTATAAAATACGTGCTATGTGTATATATATTGTTTGTTTATTTGAGATGGGTGCTGAATAGATGTTTTATACAAGTTTTAAACTGTATATGTATTTTTATCTACAAATATGTTGGGTAAAACATGGGTAGATGAAATAGTTGATGTGTAATAAAATGATGAGAGGCCTCGATGTCGATGTTGTTGTTGTTGTAGTCATCTAGCGGAGTATAGATGACGACCACGAACCTTTCTAGACTGTCCAGTGGAAAGCTAGCAGGCTCGCAACCTGTAGGTGTGGGTGAACAATATGTTCGCTGGTGTACTCCATCCGCCTCATGGTTGCCTAACGGACATATATGGCTGAGGAATCCCCTTAGCAGTAGTGTCCATCCCGATGATGATCTTTTGGCTAGGTCCCTTATGATATGTGTTTAGGGACGTAAAGTGAGGATAACGGGAACGGGTAATCAGGGTTATTGTTGGTTGATGAAATTAATAAATTTATTGTTGGTTGATGAAATTAATAAATTTATTTATTGTGGGTTGAAAACCCTATATGCTCACCAGGCTCCCAAGCCTGACCCACTCAGTTTTTTATATTACAGGTAGTGGACCCAGAGCATAGTTGGATGATGACGAGGGAGTTTTGGATTATAGGCCAGCAGATGTCAATAACTGTTGTAAGGCTTATAATGTACTCTTTATGCTTTTGGCCTGTATCGATGTGGACATCCCGAGTTTTGTAATGAAATGAAAAATACATTTCTTTAAGAAATGCTTTGATAAATTTTTATCATATTTTATTTTGGGGACAAATTCCGCAACACTTTTTGGAAGATTACTCTGATTTTATTTTAAAATCATAAACTAAATCGATCTTTTCTGGCCGAGAAATATGGGGATGTCACATCTTTGTAGCACGCAGGGGAGCCTTGAGAGAGAGAGAGAGAGAGAGAGAGAGAGAGAGAGAGAGAGAGAGAGATGGGGAGAGAGAGAGAGAGTGAGTGAGAGAGAACTCATATGCAAAGAGGAAAGTGGGAGTACAATTGATCTTGAATAAATCCAAGAATCAAACGATGAAGGAACCACTGAAGATGCTAGGGTTCAACCAGAGGAAGAAATTCCAGTTGAACCAGTTGACGAGTCATTACTTCTTAGGCATTCCACTAGAGTTAGAATGCAGCCTGAATTATATGGTTTCCATATAACTGCAGATGGTGATACTTTTATTAGTGACAGTGTACCGGTAAATTTAGATGAACTGGCTAACTACAAGGAAGCAATGGAAGGCCCTAAGGCAACCAAATGGCAAGAGGCAATGGACAGCGAGATCAAGTCCATGTATGACAACCAAGTTTGGAATTTGGTTGATAATGTACCAGGTCATAAGACAGTTGGGTGCAAATAGATCTTCAAGAAGAAGACCGAAATGGATGGAAAGGTACACACTTTCAAGGCTCGACTGGTCGCGAAGGGCTTTACTCAAACCCAAGGGGTTGACTATGATGAGACCTTCTCACCAATGGCTAAGATAAAATCTATTAGGATAATGCTCGCCATAGCTGC